TATTTCTTTGCTATTTGAAGAAAATCACACGTATTATCTTAACAATGTCCGAGACATGTGCTATAAAGTAAGAAATATACGTACGCTAATTTTTCTTGCTCCCACATTTCAGAATTGTCTGATATCCACGGGTTTGTAAGTTCAGGTTGTATGAAAAAAGGATCATACTCTATATACTGCTCAAAATACGCAATCAGACTAAAATAATCAAAGTTAAAAATACTTAAAGATAAAATATGTGATTTAAACTAATATTACTTAAATAAATAAATTAGTTAGTGCATTCGACGAAAATTTCATTAGTAATGTTCGATAATATGCAAAATTTACTTACGCCTCTGAAACTTTTGAAACTTTTATATTCGATCTATCTAATCTAGCTTTCAATATTTCAATCTCCTTGTTTAACGATTCTATCGAAGACGTTAAGAACGACTCGGAATGTGAAGGAATATCGGTACTGGTCATACCTAAATGTTTACTTAACTTTGAAATTGGTTTGTAAGTGCGACATGCTTTTTTAATATCCATTTCCGTCGTATTAACACACCCAGGCTGAAATAATAATGTCACCAATAATGTTTTCTATTGTATCGTGTTAATTTAATAATTTTTCAAGAGATCAAAATAAAATTAAATATTATTACCATTGGTCTATATACATCCCAAAAAGCTCTTTCTTGACTATCCAGTACTTTTCTTTCCAACTTATCTCGCTTTTTGTCGACTTTGCTTTGTGCTTCTGCTTGCATAAAAATAAACTCCCACTTTCTCGAGAACATTTTTTGTAACTTGGCTAAATTTTCGGCTTCGTAATCTGCTAATTCTAAACGTGTTTTGTTTTGCATCGTTCTTTTGCATAAATAAACAGCTGCAACATTAAAGTGCAATATAAACGCTTTTATAAAGAATTAAATGTTTTTCAATTTCATCAAAAAATTTCCATACCGTAATCAGTATTTTCTGGTTCCCAACAATTTGATGGCCAAAAATACGGTGTTTGAAACCTATAGAAAGTATTATCATTTTTTACAGTAAGGCAGTGGTCATCAATAGGGAAGAAATATCCATGAGACGCCATAAGATGTGCCACATGAAGTGCCTCTATCATATTGATACGTTTCTAATTAGTTGAAAGTAAATAATTTTTCACACGTTTGTATATTCAATATTTTAATTATACCTTGATCATCTATAGCCATGGTCTTCATCATCCATGATATTAAATCGGTACCTAAAATTATAAAGAAAATTAACTACATTAATATTATATTAAAAGATAAATAAGAAAACAATTCAGATTTCAAATAAAATTATAATATATTACCAGTAAAAACAGAAGGTGTTTTTGTCATAAAATTCTTTACCGTTTTCACTGGAACACCTGTAACTTCATCTGACATTTTTTCTACAATAGCTTCCATCTACAATAATACAGATATATAAAATTAAAAACAATAGCATCTATATATCGATTTAAGAAAATGTTATAATGAAACTTTAAAAGTTGCAAAAAAAAAAAAATACATTCTCTTACTTTCTGATACACAAGATAATTAGGTGTATCTTCGGCACATGAGGCAGTGATGTGATATGTGGGACTACTTGGAGATTTGTCAACTTCTTCATCATTTTGATTGTTACATTGATTTATTTGATTATCTCTATTATATCGATCAGGTGATCCTCCAATATCATTGTTTTCACTTGGTTTTCGGCGACATGCCGATTGTTCAGAATTCATAGTTACCATATCCAAGCTAAAGAAAAAAAATTTCAATTTCATTTATTTTGTTCAATATGTAAGAAAAATATAAAATAACTAATCTATCATCCAGATATTTAATAACTTTTGAATATTAGTATTTTTAACTATGTGTGTGTATTTGTATGTATGTATTGTAAACTTCAATAATAACAACAAACAAAATTCATAAAAATATGAGTAGGAAAATCCTACCTTATAAATATAATTAAAAATGTATAAATATACATTTACCTCAATAAAATTTGTTCTCCATGATACAAATGAAAGAAAAGTATCTTGTTTACATTATATTTATCAAGACTTAAGCCAATATACGATTAATTGACTGTGCACTATCCCAAAGTGATTCCAATTGCACATTTCACTAGGATCAGGCAAAAACAACTGGTAGAGAAACACATAAAAGAAATATAATTTCAACATATTTTCATTATACATTAAAAACTGCAATATACATTATTGTTTTATATAATAATTGTAATAGTTTTATAGTAGAAAAGATGCAATTTGCGATAAACAAGAACTTGGAAATTCTTGAATTTAAATTGACATTAAAAACGAAGAAATATAGTAACAATAATTACAAAATATTAATATTCTAACCAGGCAGTGAAGACCAAAGTTTCATATACTTTTTAAAGATAATCATTACGTTAAATTTCATTTACAAGAAAAGGAAAAGGATTTTAATTCAATGAAGAATCGATCAAGCGAATAACAATATTACCGACTTTTGAGAAACGAGAAGCAAACGATCTGTCGAACGATCAAGACCAATCATTCATGTTCCCTTTCAATAGATAATTTCTCCGTAGAAAATAATGATCTCACTTTTTCATGCGAGAAGATGATACGTAACAATGATATCTCACGATCAGTCCAAAAGCTTGTTTTTTCGAGTCAAACTATATTTGAAGCGCAAATCTCTCTCATTGCACGATCAATATTCCAAAATCATAGAACCATGAAGCACGTTCCATAATCGGCGAGTTGAATCTAAACAGAATTCGTTTCGTTTTACATAAAAGTGTGTGTTACTTCATCGATGACAATGACACTTACGAAAGGATCGCTCGACAACTGGTAAATACGTTCCCGATGCGTGAAATAAATAAAGTGATTCGTGTTTTCGCTATATACGCAAGTACATGTTCCTTCATGCGTTCGAATCACGACTGCGCGTGCAATTTCGTGTTGCTACGATGATGGTTTATTGTTAGTTCGGAAAGTATATATGTATATATGTAGCTATCTGACACGAAGCGAAAATAATCTGTGGAAATTAAGAAAATCAATTTTAAATGTTTTAAATCAACTGTATTTTTATGATAATGGGATATTTATATGCTCGTGTGATGAACCAATGAAAATCATTTTTTGGTTTCGTAGAGTAATAAACACATTACAAAATAATATATATTTCAACATTCGGAGAAACATAAATATATAAAATGTTTACATACGTGTCTTTAATAAAAATATGTATATACGTGATATATATACAAATGCTCGACGGTACATAATACTCGATATACATATGCATTAATTAATGAAATTATTGGACTGCAACGTGTTAGTAAACCATCTTTATTTTTTGGTGTGATAAAATTTTTAATAAATTCAATTTCTTCTCAATATGTATATATAATATATATCATATATATATTATATATAAATTGTACATAATTCATCTCACATATAAGCGCACGCATTTTATATGCGCATATTATATACGAATTTAATGTACAGAATCACGCATGCGCGCACATTCATGCATCATGCATGCACACATATGTACGTATGCATGATGCATATATATACATATATGTGCAATATATGCAAAATAATTACAATATTTTAACACCATCAAATTAATACAGTAATATTCATTAATTAATTTTTAATTTTAATTTAGATTGATGAAATATATATATGGAACGCTATTGAACATTTTTTTTAATTTCTTTAAATGTCTGTAAGATATTCAATGAAATATTAGAAATTATTCATTTGCTCATTACTTCAAACTTCGCAAAGTTGTTATTAATTGTAAAATAATATATTTTGAAATTTTATGCAACGCAATATTTCATCAGCTACTTTCAACGTAGAAAAGCAATCAGATTTTGTGGATACGTATGAAACACAGTGTAGACATGAAATAAAATTTATGAAATAGTAATCGTTGGTATTAATAAATTTCTAACACAGGTCAATTATATATCACGTCAATTTCATTTTTTCCTTCATTAGGAAACAGTATGTACAATGTACTTATGAAAATAACATATTAAAGAAACGCTTTACGAATATACACTGTAACAAGTATACACATTTTTTTTCTTTTTAATAACAAAGATTCAAATTTCAAGTCTAAACGTTGATTTACGTTTAAGTCAAGAACCTCTTACTCTGTACTTATATATAATAAAAATATATTATGTCAATATTAAAATTGTTTACAATTAATAAATAAAAATCTGATGTTATATATAACAATTTCAGTAATACTTCTTCCTTAATGACGCAAACCTCTCTTTAAGAGTAACAATTGTTTTATGATGTGCATTTAATATGAATGTGTATATATTTATGTTTAATTAAGTTGCATATACACACTCATGTACGCACAATATAATATTACAATTATGTACATCCATCTCTACATTATGCACAATTTTCTGATCAACGTGCAAACAATATGAAATGCTAAAATCAGCTATAACACATTTAAACAATCGATTTCAAAATATCAAAATAGCCATTGTTAGATCTTGAACTTTGTTTTGATATCTACAGCTTGTTTTTTTTTTTTTTTGAATTCGTACTACAATATATATTAGATAAATTGTTTTCTAGACTAGAATCAAACACATACTAACATTATTTCTAATACACGTAGATGCATATACGGTTCTGTGTTTTTTCCTATCTTTCTGTTCATAGATTTAGACCTTTAGAACTAAAGCTAAACAGAACTATTGTATAAAACACTACAAATTGTTTATATATATATTATACATATAATATATATATAATATATTATAATATTTTATTATATATTTTATATATATATATATACACACACACACACATACACAACAACATTTATAAGATTTACCTATATCTTTTCTTTTGTACAATATAAATTCCTCAGGACGACTCTATGAGCTCAACTGGTGTTCTTATAAAACCATCACGTATTACTAAAGCAATGAAACAATACGTAGTTTTAGATCTTCCATTTAGCATATCGCTGATACATTGGTTCGAGATGCATTGTCAATTGTTCAAATTCGTCAATTTCATCATCGTCAAAATTGTAAAGATTATTATTTTCTTCAGTATATCGTTTCTTTAATTCTATATCTTCATTATTAATAATTTGCAATTCTTCTTCTTCCTCTTCTTCTTCTTCTTCTTCTTCTTCTTGAATATCATTGATTTTATTTTGTGCTACAAAAATTACGTTAATAATTCTTATAAAATAATTTTATAATTTTAAATTTTTGTACTAAATTAATTCATAATATTCACAATGATTTGATACAGTAAAGATCATCTTAAAAAGTTAAAGAAAAAATAAATGATAGTAAAGAAAGCAGTATATTAATTGATAGCTTATATTATAGATTTTATATATACATGACGATATATAAATATTAACAATAAGGATAGAATAAAACAAATAATTATTCTTAACAATAAATCGAACAGAATTTATTTTCAATTTTATTTCAAACAATAAAATCTCTCATCTATTGACTTAAAAATCACCTTTGAATAAATAACGCAAATTACATATAATACATAGATTCACATAATATATATAGATGTTTGCATTAGTAATTTACATAGATTGAAAAATCTATATAACACTTTACTGTATCAATATAAACAAATATTTTTCACAAATTTATTTAAATACCAAATTCATAAAAAAGATGCAATAAATAAAAAGCTCTGAATGAAGCTCTTAACTTCTGCTCATACAACATTAGTGTTATGTGTTAAGTATTAAATAAGTGTTACATGGATCAAACTGTTATGATTTTTAATTAACATAGGAAATATATAAAAGTGAAATTAATTTTCATAGTATATTTTAAAAGGTAAATTAATATGATTTCATTAGTTGAATGAAAGATATTATTACAAGTGCAAGCGAGACATAAGATAATGTTGAAATCAGCATAAATAAAAGAGAAAGCATTACTTTTCAAATAAAATATAATAATGTTTCACAAATTTTATAAGTATTATATTCTTTTCACCAGAGTCAAATCGTTTTTACAAAGCCCATTTTATACATAGATTAATCGTAAATAATTCTTAATTTCACATCAAATATGATGAAGAATAAGCAGCATGAAATCATTTAAATAATATTAAGCACTAAAAAAGTTTCTTCATTATAATATACACACGGATTGACTTTAATAATTTCCATTATTACATTATAATTTTATTTTAACAATATATATGTATAAAACAATTATTTTATAGTATGATGTATATGTGTGTAATTGTGTGTAATTTGTGTGTGCGTGTTGTTCCAGTTCATATTCAATTTGAAATAAAGAAAAAAATTGAATTTATAGCTAATAATTTCAATATAACAGAAGAAAATCATATTACAAAATAATGACTTCAATAATAAGAGAAACCTTTATATTCATAATAACAAAGATGTAATTCTTTGTAGTTCTTCAAAATAAAATAGTTCTTTCATATTGCTTTAAAATATTATAAATTCAAAGTTACAATAAATTACATGTTGGTATTGACATCTAAACAATATTTAATTAATATTTTCTTCTGAAATATCATTAATGTTATATAAATTTATAATTTTCATCAATTCTGGTTACTCAGTTTACTCACCTGGTTGCACTGATTACTGATGAAGGCTCAGCAATGTTAGTACTCTGATCAGAAATAATGTCAACTGTTGTATTGCCTTTTGTGTTCACTACAGCCGTTGAACACATAGTTGTAGCAACTGCACATTTAATTGCATTTAAGTATTGATGAGTCTTATCATTTATATCATCTGAATTTGTGCATTTTAAATGTTGAGCAATATTCGATCCGAAGTTACTAAGCATATGAATATTCTCTGGCAAATTACTGCTTATGTCGTCATTTCCTTTCAAGTAAGACGTGTCTTCTTTTGAGTGGACAATAGAGTCAACTATTACAGGTACTGAAGAAGGATATTCGGAAACAATTCCAAAAGCCTCATTTTCTTTGAATTTTTGTTCATTGTGAAAGTTCGCACATTCTTCGATGTGATCTTCCAATGAAGAATTTTCCTCAATTTTTAATGCTTCGTCGTTGTTATGTACGTTTTCTGGCTTTTCAGTGATAGCGTTCAATGACGAATGAGACATCTGAGATAGATCATAAAATAAAGTCTTTATTTTACCAATATTGTTCGGCCAATTATTAGTTGTAATGTCTAGTGAAAGCTTTTTGATTGGAGTTTCATTAACAGAGATATCAGCTACATGATGTCTAAGATTTCTAAAAATTAATATATTGAAATTTGTCATAGAAGAGTACACTCTTGGTATAGGCATAACGATATTCATATTCTTGAACATATCCATAATATTTTTCACAACATAACTATTAATTTTCATTTCAGTCACGTTACTTATTTCGATATATTTGTTGTGTTTTATAACAAATGGTTCTATCACTTCTCGTTTTATTGATGTATTTACATTTGTATAAAGTACTGAAGTACATGAACGTGTACTATCGTCGCTAAATTCAGAATTAGTAGCTTTACACGTACAATTTATTTTTGATATCTTTGCTTCTCGTTCATTATTTACAACTGCACTTCCCCAATTCGTACTATTATTTACACGACATACATTTATTCTCTCTACTTCATTACTTGTTGGCGTATTATGAACATTTATAAAAACATTTTTATCACTGTTACTGTCAATACTATACATTCTGGTAACTTCATTATTCAAACAATTTGTTTCTACATTTATGTTCGATGTATTATAACATTCAAGTGGGCTATTATGTACACTACAGACACATTTTTGATTACATACAAAACATGCAGTATTACTTTCTGTACTATTTACATTAAAGGCAGAATTATTTTCAACGTTATCCTTTGTACTTAAATTTAATATTACTAAATTGTGCATTCTGTCAGACGTATGTACAGTATGCATATCATTGCTTACATCGTACATTATACCACATGACAAGGAGTTGCTATCACTAGTAAAATTAATACTGTCTGTTAAGGTTTCATTATTATTCGTTTTTTTTATTAGTATAGGATCTACCTTATCTAGTATTCTCGCTATATTTCGTTTCTGTACATCGTTTGTAGCTGCTTTTAAAGCAGAGTATTCAGGTATACCTATTAATTTAGGTACAGGTACAATCGTGTTACTATTTGAAACATGCATTAATAAATTATTATTTACAATTTTGGAACAAGTATCGATTATATTCGAAACAATGCAATTTGCAGCTAATACTACGTCCTTGTTAGTAACACCAGAAGGAAATTTTGCGTGTACGTTTTCATATAATAATCGATCATCTAAAGCAGAAGCGGACTCCCGCCCTTCTAAATAGACATTTACGTTTTTGCTTTCGTTACTATATTCAGCACATTTTTTTCCTGTATCGATTGAATCGTTTTTACTATCTTTCTCGAATAAAAGCTTTACCTCCTTGGAGCAAGGCTTGTCACTTTGTCCAGGAGCATTTAAATTACCCTCGAATCTAAACGACGGGATCATGTTTGCTAAACTTTGTAAACTTGGCAATTGAGAAACATTGAAAAATTTTGATTTACTTTTTAACGATACCGAAGGCTGCTCTTCCGTTTCACGATTATAAATCCTATCTCTCTTATCTTTTATGTAATAATGGAATTTATCTCCGAGAGTCATCATACTGTTTATGCTGCCTTGAAGCGTATTTTTACTTTTCAACTGATTGATAGGAGTAGAATCGGAAAAAAAACAACTAGAATGTTGGAACAACGAAAGTAATTTCCCTAGGTTAGACGTACTTTTCTGTATTGGATCGTGTTTTGTTTGAGATAACTCTATACTTTCGTTCACACTAATATTTATTACTTTGTCCGTTGCATCATGACCCTTCTTGTTGCTAATTATCGATTTATCACTTATTGTTCTATAAGGCGAACTTTCCCCCTTTCTATCTGCAAGTGTAGACGTTTTTGTATCTTTTGCATTTTCGTTAAAACAATTTTCTACATTCTCGATATTTCTCGTCATGGAAACATCATCCGATATACTTTGATTGTCTGGCACACCATCTTTCTTGTGTTCTAAGCTTGCACAATCATCAGACTGAGTTTCAACTCTTGTCTCAACGAACGATTCATTTGTATTTAATTCTTTTGTATTAGGACGTCCAGGTATCGTCGGTATGCAGGACATTTCTTTTTTCACTTCATTTAAAGCTAGACGAGACAAGCTGTTCGAGGTACTTTGAGAACTATCAAGAGTTTGATCGTTATTCTTTCCTGATTCAGATGCAAGTGTGATGCTCGAGTCATCTAAATCAGTCGATTCTGCAACATTAACTTCCAAACTTAAGTCAGCCGACTCGGTAATATTAACTTTCGAACTTAAGTCAGTCGATTCGGTAATATTAACTTTCGAACTTAAATCAGTCGTAGTAATAACAGGTTTAGGTAAAGATACGGTATTTGCTGATTCAACAACTGAAACACGAAATCTAGATGACCCACTTGCAGAAGTGACACAGGTAGGTGATGATCCAAGGGGTGAAAGAACTGATGACGAAAATGCTGAGGATTCCGTAGAACGTAATGTTTCCGGAACTCGGGACACCACAAACCGGCTTCGCGAAGGACTTAATATAGGACTGGCTATGGGTGAAGAGGCAGGACTAGGGGCTGGAGAACGAAGGCGACCTCCATTAATACGTTTCGGTTCGAGCATGGATCGTCCAGATTCATCTTTTTGTATTGAAATCATGGATGATAAAGAACATGGTAGTGTTTGACAAGTAAGCGAAATTTTACGGGTGGTTGTACTACAGAATCTGCTATGATATGAATTGTCAAAACCTTCGCTATTTTCTTCTAATTTACGATTTTTCTCGTTTTCCAAACAATAGCTTCGAATTTCAGCTACAAGCTGCGTATACTGATGCAAAGTATCGGTTAGATTACCCTATTGTTAACATAAAAGAAATTAATAATAATATAAATGTCTCTTTTTTTTTAAACTTTGTATCTAACAAGCAATAAAATGGAATTGTTCACTTACCATCTTTATATCAGGTTTATCGTCTAAATCTATTTTAGTAATGTTTTTATTTTTTTTCATAGCAGACTTGAGAGCTTCCATTCCATCCAAACGTATTTTATTATTTCGCAAATCTATCCTCTAGAATAATAAAATATTGGAGATAAAATAATTTTATATATCAATTTTTTATATATCAAAGTTTTTACAATTTTAAAGCTTCCAATATTTACTTGTAATGCGTGATTTATTTCGATAATTTCAGATAATGTAACAATCCCGTCACACGTAAGTTCAGTTGATTGTATCCCCAATTGTAACAAAACACGATTCTTTTTCAATGCATCTTTTATAATGAATAACAATTCATCGGTCAACATATTTTTTCCAATGTTCAATGTTTCTAATGTCTTAGATAATGCCTATATGTAAATAATAAAATGAAATCACAGTATAGGCGTACATAAGTATATAAAGTAATAACTATAAATAAGTAATTTATACATGTATAATTATAATGATAAAATAAAATTACATACTATAATACGTGCGAAATAGGGAGATGATTTTTTTGTCAGTTGATTATTCCACAATATTAATATGTTTAAACCTTTACCATCTTTGTCCTCGTTTACTTGATTGATGAGACCTTCTAGGATATCACGTACACCATCATCTTGAATGAAATTATTACTGAAAAGAAATAATCTCTTTATTAATTTTGCTATTGTGTATATATAAATTTTTATAGGAAGAATAGAATTATTTTGTTATTATCATCTTTTTCTTTAATTATTACGTACCTAATATCAAGTAACTGTATATGATTATTTAATCTAAGAAGAGAACCAAGTTGTATTGCGTCGTATAAATTCAGCCCATTGTCAGCTAAGTATAGTTCTCTTATTCCAGTATTCATTTTTAATGCTGCAACTATTAAAAAGGCTATGTTACATTACCAAAAACTCAATCCATTAATTTCAATCAAGTAAATAAAGAAATTTTAAGATTATCATAAATACATATATTTTATTATTACAGTTTTGGTTATATAGCTCTTTTCAATAGAATGAAAATAATGGAATGAAACTTTAAAAACTTTAAAAATTCCTATCATATCCTTCATCTTTCATATTAATATTATAAAAAAATGTTTCAGTAAGTACCATATTAAATAAAGATATTATACTTTCTTAATATTACATTTTTCTTAAATTGAAAAATTTGATTTTGCCAGTCAAATAAACCATGTGAAAATATAAAATGAGATTACTACAACAATGTTTTCCTACAATAATCTACTTAATAGGTCTATATAAATGATGCAAAGAAAGAAAGAAAATTCTTGATTACTATTCTTACAATGAGATCGTATTTATATAAATAATTAAGTTATCTTGTTTTATTGAAATTTCTAGTTATATCATACTTAGTGATTTGTGAATCTCAATAATCTTTGTGAAAATTAAAAATATGATAATAAATCAAATTGCAACTATTTAAAAACCAATAAATGAAAAAAATAAGTCTAATGAACTATATTGTATAATAAATACCTAGTGTGATGATAGATCTTCCTGAAAGTCCACAATTTTCTAATTTAAGCACATGTAGATGGCAAACTAATCGTAATGCACGACTCAAGATATTCATATATTGTTCATTAAGGATTATATCCTTAGCTTCAAGATGTTCTAAACATTGGGTCTAGACAAATAATGATTATATTAATTATATGTTAAAAAAGATAAAGCTCAATTTTAAACACTTTATACTTAGTGCCATTTCTAATTTTGTTGTTCTATATATCATCCTATACATGATAAGTAATAAAATAATAAAAAATATTTCAAACTAGAATTTTTTAAATAAAATATATTTATTGTATATACCTTCCTTATCATATTTGCACATGCTTGCCAACCATAAATCCCAATACCTTGATTAGATGAAATATTTAAGTGCTTTGCAGATTCATAATATTCTAACATATCAAATAATATCACAGAACTCTATAATATAAAAATTATATCAAATAATATCTTTGAAAATATTACCATTTTTTATAAAATTTTAAGTTGACTAAAATACCTCATCATCCAAAAATGTGGCTTCTAAATTAATTTTATCAAATTGGACTCTTTTAAAAATTTCCTCCAATGGCTCTGCACGATTAATGTCCAATATCTGTCCTTTTAAATCTAATTCTTCACATCGCAATTCAAATGTTTCTAAATTCTGTATAGAAATTATTATTAACAATAATTGGCTTTATTTTATTATAAATTTTTAAATTATGCATTAAATATATTTTCATAATGTATGTTTTATAATTTCAGTATATAATTTTTAAAATATTTAATTTATTATTGTATCAATTATACAATAGCTTTTAGCTACTTTAGCTAGTTTCAATATTAATTATAAAATTGCAGACAATTAGCAATTGATTAGATACATATAATTGGTATTATTTAATATTTTTTCAATCCAAACCCACTGAAAATAGATATTTAGAAAAAATGCACTTTTACCTCAAGCTGATTTATAACAGTCTCCAGGGGATCTGAATTATGTTTTAAACAGGATTCCTTGTATGCTGAGATTACATCTTCACAATTCACATTTTCAGCTGTGAACAATTAATTGAAATATTGTTAAAATATAACAAATTAAAGGTTTGTTATATTGATGATGCTTTAGGATTCTATAATAGAATATGTAAGATACAAAAATTTATGTTATATCTACTTCACAGATGGTTTAAAAATCAAAAATAAATGAAGAAATTCATACGAACATAGTTTCATTTTATCCTCACTTCTAAGGTACAGTAAGCTTTGTATTTAAATATATGGTTTATTCTTCTCCAATAAATTAAAGCAGAATTTACAAATATAATATCTTTTATAAAACTAAATAGATGAAAATTATCATAATACAAAACTTACTTTATTCCAAAAACAAAATCATAATAAACATATATTCATTAGAATCATTTTCATTAATTTGAAATATTGAATATTTTTGTAGTAGGTCTCATATATTATATTATACTTTATTTGTAATCAAATGTTGCATTTCACTATTCGACAAAATGTTGCTAATAACACATACTATAAATATAATTTTAAGCTTCAGTTTATCATTTGCATTTTATATGTTTTTAACACGTTCACTGCGGTGTTCATTGGTGACTCACCAAGTTTTTCATTTGTAGCAATGACTTGATCATTAATTAGTGTCTATATTTCCACTGAATGTTCACCTCTCTATCACAACAAAGCAAGTTGATAAATTTGACCCTGGAAGCAGAGGATCAAGAGGAAATCAACTCTCCATCTCTTTCTTAAGACTAGAGCCAAATATTTACTTGCATTTTATTTTAATAAGAGTTAAATATACTTTAACATGGATGTAAAAACATACATCAGGAATCAAATACTATTTTTCTGCAGAATATAATTCTTTTTATTGAAAAAGTTAGCTTCCACTTTATATGCATAAGTCCACAGAGAACGTATTAATACAATAATATAAATAAAATGTAAATGTATCATAAACATATTAAAATAATTTCACATGTCACAACTTTAGCTTACATTATTAGAAAGAATTTATTTAATTCTCATGTAATATTTTTGAACAATCAAATTGTTGTGTATTTGAATAAAATTAATATCAATTTGAGAATATAACAAATTCTTTATTATATAAAACAATTTTATAATATACATCATTCTACTTAAAACAATCTAATTACAATTAAAATAGTATACTTTAAGAGTAATTTACAAGTCAATTATATATTGTACATACTTTAATATTGCATCAAACTTATAATTAGTATATGGTTCATCTTATTGTGAAATCTTAAATGTTCTATATTTGGCACGACCTATAAAAAAATCTGATGGCTTAGTGCAATATAACTATGTAAGTAAATAATTATAAAAAAGATATCAACAAATAATTTAAAATAATCATATTTATTATATTTATTATGAGTGCCAATAACATCTTTAAAATAAAATTTAAAGAAATTATTTGAACAAATTACAATTTGCATTTAAATTGTAACTTTTAATTAATCACTTTATTTTGTTGTTATAAGAAGGTACAATTTTTCCATATTGTTAGACATATATATAAGAGAATTATAAATTTGATTTTTATACTAAAATGTATTAACAAATTTCAAAACCAATAAAATTAAAAAATGTATAAAATAAATTAAAGTTTCTTAAAAAAGTAAACTTATATTTTAAAATAAATATAAGTTTCAATCCTCCTTTAAAAAATATTAAATTAAACTTAAATTAATTTGATGATACAATTTTTTTAAATTAATATTTACGAATAATTATATATAACATCTATAAATATTTGTCATCTTCCAAAAATGTACTTATAAATTCATCTTAGGTAATGAGTAAGTCTGAAATAACATTTAAAGGTTACTTAATAAATCATTTATTAGAGAAACTTTTATATGTACATATTAATTTTTATATCATTTGTATAATAAGCTTATCCTAACTATTATTAGTACTTTTTATTGATAATATAATATTTATTCTTGTAATTCTCAGAACTTGAATATGTGTATAATTTAAATGCTTTTTCTAGGTTATTTGAAAAAAATACAATTTACAATAAATGTTGCACTTTCAAAATGTTAACAATGTTGCAAACTTCTCGCATAAAATTGAGCAACGTTGTGAATACTTTCAATACATTTGTATTTGAATATCTGTGAGGTTGAGCGAAAGAGACACAGGTTCTTGAATTATATTGTATACATTCCAGAAATCACAAATCTCTCCAGTTATGTTAATACATATTTCGCACATTAGATTTTAAAAATATTTACAAATAAATGTACAGAAAATCAAGTTAATGACAATTAGATTATTACTAAAGATAAAGTACAGTTTCTCAACACGTAGCGATCAGTACAAAAGCGCTTGACGAGTATTTCGTTACATATTTTCATTAGAAACATTCACGTTTAAACATCTGTGGAACTAACTTAACGAATACTGAAATATTATTTCTAGATGAGAAAAATCCTTGCGTGAATCATTAATATTTATTAATTTATACAAACATGAACTATAGATTTTTACCTTTGAGAGGTAGCAAAATAGAATGAAGAAATGAACATGAAACTAATATGTGTGATAAAATATTTATCCTCACCGAGTATCCATGGATTGGCCGGCTCCAGATACCCCGTAATCAAGTGATTGTCATTTGTTGGGAAACTCACACGTCGGGGAAGCTTTTTCTTGCTCAATGCCAGGGAGCTACGCAATTTCCTTCCGTCGATCAAGATATAAGGCGACAGCGGGACATTGCCCATACCAAATCGTGACCTTCTCGTAGTGTGTGATATCATTCTCGGAGGGAGTTCCTCAGGATCGACCTCATCTTTCAAGGTCGTCAGCGAATTCTCGCAAATCTGCGAAACCGAATTCGCTTCCTCGCTCATATTCAACAAATTTCTAACATATTTCTCGAAACGGGATTTATTTCACATAAACACGCACACACATCCACATGCACACCGCACAATATGCGTTAACGCGGCTATTTTGTTAAATTAACGTCGATATCGAAGCAAACATTAGCTACTCGTATGTTACATCCGCCATCTTTACTACCGTCAGACAGGTTAGACAATTGCGAAATTTCATTCAACTAGGAAAATACAAATTGTAATTGTAATTGCAATTATAATTATTGTTAAACATTCGCGTGTTATCAAGATTAATTGTTTCTTTTGTTAGTCAGTATGATGAACGTGTTATTTTCAATTTAATAATTTTTTAGATTGGTAGGACTGTATAATAAATATTGAAATTTATTTTTCTGTACAAACATAAATTCAAATAAATGTACAAAAAATACTAAATTTTTTAATAAAAGTATATATTTAGTTTGTACTAATTTGATCAAATTTTAATATCCAATAATTTTCTATTCTTACTTTATTTTTTTTTACTTATCTCAATTTAGAACTTTCAGCATTATTTCATTCTGCGTAGTATGTTTTTAAGGCTGTTTCTATAAAATATTAGATTCACGTTTTTCTTTAAATTTGTAATTAACTACTATAATACGATCTACCAAATGAAAATAAAGCAAGCTAAGTGCATGATTCATAATCGTAAAATTCATAAAATATTTATCATATAGATAATAATATATATTACTAGAAACTAGAAACCTAAATAAGATTTTTGTAAGTATCCACCATATCGAATTAAATTTTTTCACATACCCAATTTGAATTTTAAACCAACTACATAACTGATAAAATTCTTTCTTACGTATTACAATATTAGAAATTTGTAAAATTTTATCTAATACACGTAACTATTGAATATTGAGATTCATTATTAAATATAATTGAAAAACAGCGATATTCTTAGTCAATGGCTTGAAATATTTTTGTTTGTTGAAATTTAATTATATATAAAACAATTGAACTTAATGTTGACTTAAATTTACTTGTCTATTTTAATATATTTCATTATATATATATATATATATATATTTAATATAACAGTAATATATATTTCAATATATTATCAAGCTATTAATAACAAAAAATAAATCATTGTCATATTTACATATTTTAGGGGATTTTATTTTCTCACAATTGATGTGTCTAATATCTTGAAAATCTTCATTTAATTGTTTTTGTAAGATAATATCATATTTCTAATATCAAATTTACTTAAAATACATCCTTATAAAAAGCGGTTTACCTGTAATTTATAATTTATCAAAATTGTACTTTTCATCTTAAATGGTATTGAGATATACCTGTTTCTATCGCATAAAAAGTTTGACAGAAACGCAAGACTCTTTGTATTTCATATGATTAAATCAAAATTACAACAGTAAGAACTTTCATTTACTTACTTAAAACTTAAAGTGCTGAATATTCTGTGATGCTGTATAATATTTACATATTAAAAATATTTATTCGTTTAAATGTTAAATAAAAGCTGTTCATTCTTTTTTCTCGCATTGCAACACGATATTACACTACAATTTATGTAACATAACCTATAAATTTCTTGGAATTTTCTTATTACTTTTAGGTAGAAATGGAGACTGTTCTGCAACAGAAGATAATAGAAGCAACGCATTGCGTTGAAAAACAATTAGATGCCGAGTTAGAAAAATTGGACAATTTGGATATTAGTGATTTTGAGAAGTTGCGTGAACAACGTCTTAAAAAGTTAAAATTGCTTCAACAACAGAAACAAAACTGGTTGGCATTGGTAAAGTATAATTTCTGATATCCTATTATTTTACAATATTTTAATCACTCTCTGACGGTTTAATTTTATTAAAAACTTGAAAATTAACTCAATGTTTAGGGCCATGGAGAATATTCAGAATTACATGATGAAAAAGAATTTTTTGAGGTATCGAAAAAATCCGAGAACATTGTCTGTTTATTTTATAAAGATGATTCTCCAAGATGCAAAATAGTAGATCATCATCTAAAAATTCTTGCAAAGAAACATATAGAAGCAAAGTTTTGTAAGCTGAATGTAATGCAATGTCCATTTTTAACTGGTAAGTTAATTGTATTTTTTTTAGTCCATTTTCTTTAAATTAAAAAAAACTTTGAATACTAATCTGTATTATACACTTTCTAGCACGTCTAAGGATTAAAATTATTCCTACAATTGCTCTTATTGTTAACGGCAAAACTAAAGATTACATTGTGGGATTTACTGATTTAGGAAATCGTGATGATTTCTTAACTGAGACATTGGAATACAGAATTTCACTTTCTGGTGCGATAACATTTGAAGAAAACTTGTCATCGGAAAACACTAAAAAAACATGGTTGTCGCAAGTCTCAAAACCTAAAACCATTAAAGGACCTAATAATTCAACTTTTGATGATTCAGATGAAGATTGAACAAAGTTTTAATTACATATGTATTATTTGGATTTTCAATAATTCATTATTCATTATTTATAAGCTTTCACATATAAAAATTTACAATTATTGAAGACAATTCTAACATATGAAATAACTATATCAAATGGAATATATTTATATGTTAACTTATTTACAATAATGGAAATTAAAATTGTTTAATAATAAAAAAAACTTATAATAAATATTGTTATATATAATACAAATTTTTTATTATTAAAAAGTATCTAGAAGAATAAATATTTTGAATATTTTTTTAATTTCTCTTGTTTCTTCTTACTATTACAAATCTATTCAATGTAAAAATCATTTTATATTTTTTTGTTATTCAGATATAACTATTCAAAAATAGTTCAAATTATTTAACAATTCCCAGAAAATTTTAAGTATTCATTCGATAACTCAAATTTGTTACTTTAAGGAAGATTCTATCTAAATTTTGTATCAGTATAACAATGAATTAGTTTCAAATCGTTATTTTTTAAATCATTTTTTATTTTTTACAAATTCATCTTTTCATACTAAAAATTTATAATTAATAAATAAGCATTTATTAATACTAATAACAATTCCTATCGTTATATACAATTATACAGATATAAGATAATAAAATTATTGATAGAATAATTTTAAAAGTTTCTTCTTTCATAGATAAATCATTTAAACCAAAAGTAAAAAATAAAGAAATATGTTCTATATTCTTTTCAAATATATTATATATATTTGCAAGTAAATTTTACAGAAATGAAGAGAAAAAGCATGAATTATTTTTAACACAATTTTATTCTCACATGAGCATCACTGACAATGAGATATTACGTAAAATTTGTTATATGAAAATATTTAAAATTTAAATATAAATCAATTTCAAAAAGAAATAGTTTAATAAACAAATATAATTATATTTTTAATTATATATATAATTTATAATCATAACATAATGTCTAAATTATTTTTGCTATTTAGAATATCTACTGTGCACAGAATATTTACTTTTTTACAATTATAATTTTAAAAAAGTAATAACATATAAAAAATAACAATATTCCAAATCATATTGTATTTTAATTTTATATTACAGAAAGAGTAAAGATTGTAATATCATTGAAAGCAACTATTAAATTCATTTACGATCCAACTCCATTTATTTATCATTTATCAAACTTAATTTGATTAATCACTTATGAAAGAATACCTTGTTATTTTACAATAGATTGTAGTATTTCATAGCCATTTCATTATTACTAATATCATTTTTTTATGCTGAATTAAATTTAATTGAGAATATATATTGATATCATTGTCACTTATATACATACGTTTTCTATTTATATATAAGAAATTTTGTAATTTATAATTCGTAATATGTAAATTAAATTTTGTGAACATCCTATTTCTAATGTTCTTTACACAATGTTTTTTAATAACTAATCTTTAATATTATAATTATGCAATGTATCACAGAGATAATTTTGCATACATTCAAATTTTCTATATGTACATATTGAAATGGAAACCGTATATTAATACTATGCAATAAACATAGTTTCATGGATTATTAAAAGAATTTTAAAAGGTATTATAAATGAATATAACCAAATGTGTAATACTGTGTCTGTAAAAAAAATCTGTAAAAAAAAGTAATATAAATTACCTTATAATGCCCCTGTCTATGAATTATACACTCTTCATTTTTGGAAAATATTTTTATGAAATTACATATTAATAAATATATAATATAACATCTAGAAATCTTTTTTTTACATGAAAGTAAAAATATTATTATTACAAAAGATATAAACATTTATGCGTATATTTAAAATATAAAAACGTATGTTCTAAAACACATATAACATGGCAATTCAACTTTATTTGAATTATATATTCAAATCAAATTTGTTAAAAATATGTTTTATTACATATATATTATTATATAAAAAAAAAAAAGAAAAAAGAAACAACAACGAAGTGCCAAAAATGTATAAACAAATGTAATTAAAAAGTTTGATATAAACAATTTGTGTTTTTAAACTTTTCATCTTATATAATAAATATTAGGTATCCAGAAAAGTTCTTGTCGTTTTTCCATATGAAAAACATGAATTTATTCATCAAAATATGAACCTTCATATTTTATAGATTTTTCCCAACGGTTTAAAAACTTATAAATACCGTTTTTACAAAAATCTTTTGTTTTACCGCGGAAAAATCTTGACACTTCTTTTTTCATATCACTTTCATTATTGTAATTGTTCCTTGTATAGTTATCCAGATTCAGAAACAAACGAAAATCTGTTGGTGAGAGTTTGACGAATATGGTGGATGGATCCTCCTATTCAAGTTCCATTTGAAGATGAGTCATCTTTGCCACGTGAAGTCGGGCATTCTCCTGAAGAAATAAAACTTTCTTCCTATTTACCAATGCTGGCTAAGTTTTTTCCATAATTTTTTTCAAACTCTTTCTAACTTATCACAATATCTATAGATGTTGGCAACAATAGTTTTTCCCACTTCTAAAAAGTCGTTAATTAGAAAAATTCTTAAAACTGTGATCAACAAAAAATGAACTTCTCTGGGTACCTAATATAAAATAGAATATATTGCCTTCCCATGTATAAAATGATACCTTATGATTTGTTTTAACAGTACATTATAAAACAGATAAAGTAATTACATATAAAGGTAATGATTCTTAAATACGTATTATAAAACAGAAAATAATTACACTTTGTACACACTTTGTTTCTTATAATTTTTTTTCTTCAATTCTTTTTTAGACAAAAATGCATGAAATACGAAAGTTTACTTTTATGTTAACAGATAAAATAGCATATTACATATGCTAATATTTATAAAAAAAACTGAATTATATATTTAAAAAGAAATATAAAAACAATTATTGTACTAGATATACTTCACATTGTTTTCATGTCACAAATATTCTTTAAAGAAGTAGGATAACTTAGGTAGTAAAAGATATCTTTGCAATAGAACATTTAGAAATTACAATGTTCGAAGAAGGCAAACATATTGCAAAGAAATAATTCTTTTACTTCATCCAATACTTAGCATTTGGAATTGAATTAATTAATCTAATTATATTCTAGAATTCTTCTATAGATATCCTTAACTTTGTTCATTATCAAAAAGATTTTATATTCATGTGATTAATGTAATTTTACATACTTTTAGAGTTTTTTTTAAAGAAAAACGTTTAATTAGTAAGATAAAATTAAATTTTGATCCTTTTTTTTTAAATTTAAGATCTACGTTAATCGATGAATAGGTTTTGAAAACTCATACTCGATATATTTACATTATTTCAATAACTTATATATTATTTTCTTCTCGATAATGAAAACAAACTTGACCAGCCAATTTAAATAGTACGTCAATTTAACTCACTGTACATAGTTTGATGTTTGATAAAGTCACAGAAGTAGATGTCTTCTGCCTTTAATGCGATTTACCAAATTGCATATTTTAAGTGCTGGCCCAAGTTTTAGTCCCATATATTTCATCATCATATCAGAATTTAAAAGTAACAAAGCTTTCCCATCAATTTCCTAAAATGCAAATAGAAAAAAAAACATATAGATTTTATATAAAAAATTAATAATATTTTATATGTAATCTAGAAAGAATTACAAATGAATTTAATTTCAATCTAAAAAGTGTTGTTATAAAGTAAGTACAAAGTAATGTAAAATATGAACTTACATGTTTTCTAAATAAATCTGCATGCTGACCTAATGCAGGGTCAGTAATACCAATGTAATGTATTACATCCTCAATAGTCCATTCTGCTGGTTCAGTAGAAGGTGTACGATTCATGGAAGTTTCAGATTGAGTAGTAGATGTTGCAGCTTCGAGTTCTATGTTATAATTATAATAATAATATATCTTCAATCTATAATCAGTTGCTTATTAATATTTAAAAAAAAGAAAAAAAAATTACCTGGAACAGATTTTCGTGGTTGCTTTGCAAGTGTTGGCGAAGACAGTGACGAATTGTTTATACTTTGTACAGAATTTTGTTGTGTTTGCTGCTGTGCAGTAGTTGTTGACAGATTCTGTTGACTTTGAGACCATCTTCTTTTTTCTGCAGCAGTATTATTATTAGTTGTAGCAGTAGCAGTGTTAACTGCTTCTTCACTATTGGTGGATTGTGGTTGTTGAGTATTTGGACATTTGTTGCAGGGTTCTTTCCTTCTAAATAACATATGCTCACACGCGCAAAGGTCTTCGAGTTGTCGTCTAATATATATGTAAAAATCTTCTTCCTCCATAAATATCGGTAACCTTACAGAAGTAGGTTTACTCTCTAAAATTAAACTTATAGTTTCTCCCTCACCACGTTTTAACAGACTCAGCATCTGCCTTGGACTCATTGCTGCCATCAAAAAGGCTTGAAATATATCTCTTGTGACATTTAGTATAGGGCCAGTACCAAATTGTGCTGGCATTGCTTTTACTTTACGAGGATCAAAATAAGGGCCACATGTGCAATTATGATTTACATAAATTGTAACTGTAATACAATAAAACCATTGAATATATTGAAGAAATAACACAATGAAGATACAGATTCAACTAAAAGATAGATGAATAATACATGCCATTCTCTAAGGAATGTGGTTTGGTATTAGCTGTACTAGTATCAGGTTCTGTAGCTGGTTGTGGTGGAGCACTTGAACCTGCTGGACTCACTAAAGCAACAGCTGGTTCTCCATTAGTACCTCCGCCCGACACTGCCATTACTGGTAAAACGTTACTCGTCCTAGACTTAAATCTATTAGGCCCTGTTGCTACACACATTAATGTATATATATAGTATATATATATATATATATAT